AAGAGTAGCGCCGAGCTGACAAACAGCTGATCAGCTGTTTGTTGGCTCAGCGCGGCAGCCATGTAAATTTAAATGAAGCAGCGATCATTTAAATCGCGGCTTCATTTGCCTTTGCCTATGTGTCTAATCTACATACCTCTGACGACAGAGGCATGTAGTCTAGACACAGCCTAAAAGTCCTAAGCTGAAATGAAACTTGCATTGGTTTAGAATGCAGACAGAGAAGAATTCCCATTGCTGCTGGCTGGCTAAGAAACCACCAGTCCAGAGTTTCAAAATGATTTTTCAGCTCTTTTGTACAGGAACACACGGCTGTGGATGGGCTTTGCTCCTTGTGTTGTGGGGTATGTTTGTTTGTTGATTGTGGTGCTACAGTGAATGTCTCCATTCTGTGCTGCAGTTTGCTGAGCTGCATCTGCCACACACTCCCAACCTCTCTGACATGTCAATGGGGACTGGCCAGGCTCTGAGTTGCTAGAGCAAAGCTGGCAGTGGGAAGAAGGGGGTGGGGTGTGCAGAATGCAGCTTCAGGAAATTAGCTTAATCTGTGAGGGTATGTCTACACTACCACCCTAGTTCGAACTAGCGGGGTAATGTAGGCATACCGCACTTGCAAATGAAGCCCGGGATTTGAATTTCCCAGGCTTCATTTGCATAAGCCGGCCGGCGCCATTTTTAAATGCCGGCTTGTTCGAACCCCGTGCCGCGCGGCTACACGAGGCGTATAGTTCGGAGAACAAGCCGGCATTTAAAAATGGCGCCGGCCGGCTTATGCAAATGAAGCCCGGGAAATTCAAATCCCGGGCTTCATTTGCAAGTGCGGTATGCCTACATTACCCCGCTAGTTCAAACTAGGAGGGTAGTGTAGACATACCCTGATTTACTGAGCCAAAACATGGAGTAACCCCAGAGATGCAGAGCACTAAGAGCTAGGTATTGTTATTTAGCAGATACCCCACTCCCTCTTGTTTGATTAGACTTACAGGTGTATGTGGGTGATTTTGTTTTGGCTTGTTTCTTAAGCCTTGAGAATCATTTTGAAGTTTCAGGACCCAATGCTATATTTTTTTAATAGAACCTCCTTTTTAAATTTTCTTCTCCCCTGAGCACTTAAACAATATGACACAAAGTCTGTGTACAGCAAGAGTGTTGTACAAAAGGAAATTTTCTTTTTCAAGTAGATGTGTAGAGGTGTATTCCATAGACTGAATAGAAACAACATTTTCCAGATTGTGACAGTAATAATGATGAATAACTAATAATACTCAAAACTTCAGGGACTGTTTGAGGCCTGCTTGGAGGCCTAGACACTCAACTGCATTTGTACAACATAGTATTGTATCAAGCATGTTTCTGTATTTTAATGAGAAAGCAAAACACTAGTTTCATATTTAAGATTTTAAGAGTTGGGGGGGGGGGGAGTTACATTTTTTAATTTTGTTTTTGTTTTTTTAAGATGCACAAAGAGCCTCAATTAATAAAACAATTTAAAAACAAAATATGGAGGCCAGGCAGCTTAAATATATGCTTAATCACTTAGTTCCAGAATGTTTTTCGAGTAACAGGATAAAATAGCAGAAGTTGTATAAAAAAAGCTCATACCCAAATTCACAAAACTATTTTTTAAACCAAAGCACATTTGAATGAGTGTGGAATCTCACTTGGCTCAGAAAAATACTAATATATTTATCTCACTGTTTACATAAATTTTTACAGTTTCAGACCTCAACAGATATAGGGGCCAGTCAAAATTAATCTTTGATTTTTCCACTGATTTGTCTTTGAAGGCTAAAGCAACATTTCTTAAACTACCAGCACACAAAAGAGTCATCTATGAATCACACTGCATTACAACGCTACTTAGGTTTTGGGAGATGTAATTAGGGAAATGGGGTTATTTTATTTTTTGTCCTCACAGCTCTTAAGATAGTAAGTTAGGGTATGTCTACACTACCCCCCTAGTTCGAACTAGGGGGGTAATGTATGCATACCGAACTTGCTAATGAAGCCCGGGATTTGAATTTCCCGGGCTTCATTAGCATAAAGCCGGCGCCGCCATTTTTAAAAGCCGGCTAGTGCGAACCCCGTGCCGCGCGGCTACACGCGGCACGGACTAGATAGGTCAGACTAGATAGTTCCTAATCCGAACTATCTGTACACCTCGTTCTACATGCGTTCTTCAATGTAAAGAGGCCGTCTGGGTGCTCTCTTTCGAAAAAGCGGATTTTTCTTTCGAAAGATCCGCCTGCAGTCTAGACGCGATCTTTCGAAAGATGCTTTCGAAAGAGCATCTTTCGAAAGAAGCCTGCAGTCTAGACATAGCCTGAGGGTTTGGTTGTGTTAGCAGCAGAGTGGGGAGAAATGAGACCCTAGAAAAGAGAAGCTAAAGCCGCTCTACCCAGTACGTTTCCCTAACATTGGCCATAAGAGCTGGGCTAATCTCATATTCTATCTCTTTATTGGGAGCTACAAAAAAAAAAAAAAACCACACACCCAAAAGCCAAGCCCTGCACTGTGGGATAGCTGGCAGAAGCCACAAAGACCACAGGAGACACCAAAGAGCTCTTGCTGTACAGCTTCTGTGAGTCCTTGTCGCTGTGGAAGAGAAAGGAAAGTGTGACTTTCAACTGACCCTCTGCACTGAATAAAAACTATTGGGCTGTGTCTACACTGGGCCACTTATTCCGGAAAAGCAGCTGCTTTTCCGGAATAAGCTGCGAGCTGTCTACACTGGCCGCTTGCTTTTCCAGAAAAGCAATGACGATCTACTGTAAAATTGTCAGTGTTTTTCCGGAAAAACTATGCTGCTCCCGTTCGCGCAAAAGTCCTTTTCCAGAAAAACTGTTCCAGAAAAGGGCCAGTGTAGACAGCACAGTAGTCTTTTCTGCAAAAAAGCCCCGATCGCGAAAATGACGAGCGGGGCTTTTTTCTGGAAAAGCGCGTCTAGATTGGCCATGGATGCCTTTCCGGAAAAAGTGCTTTTCTGGAAAAGCATCCTGCCAATGTAGACACGCTTTTTCCGGAAATACTTATAACAGAAAACTGTTCCGTTTTAAGCATTTCCGGAAAAGGGTGCCAGTGTAGACGTAGCCTTGCAGAGACCACAGAATTCCCTGCTGGAATGAAGAGGCCAACCTGGGTAGCTTTAATGGTCTGGATTGAGGGCAGCAGTATACTGTACGTAGAGTGCCCTTCCTACCTTCAAGATAATACAGCAGCATGAGCCGAACTGGACTGTTTTATCCTTCTGTGAACTAAGATAGCTCTATTAATTCACTCCAAAACTTGGTATCTTGTGTAGAAGAGCCCAGTCAAGACCCATGTGAAAACATATGCTTGGCTTGATTTGCATGTTAGAATAGTCTAAAGATTGCCAATGACAATGGTTTGTTAAAATACCACTGAAGCCAAAAAAAAAAAAATTCAACTGAAAAAGTTCCCCACCCATAATCTTGATTCTCTCATTTTAGTTTATAAAATTTGACACCAATGCCACCTCAAACACCCGAGGGAAGCTGATGGAAAATGAAATATTAATTTTGCCTGGTCTTAATATCTAACAAAGATGGTGCAAACACTATTTGACAGTGTTGTTTTTTGTATAAATATGTATGTGCAGTAATGAATGTATTTATTTCTCAGATTCTGTATGCACAGTTTTGCAATGAAATTCACTACAGTTGCAAACACAGATGTGTCTGCAGGGTCTTCTCTACAGGATTTTCAAAAAAAAAAAAAAAGGAAAAAAAAAGGAAAAATATTACATCTCAGAAACTGTCAGCATAGCCATAAACCAGAACCTGTGAAGACAATACAAAGACTGGACGTTTGTAGCTTTGCGTAGAAGAGGAATTTATGTTTTGCGGTATTTACATGTTTCCAGTTATGCCACTCTTAAAATTCCTGTCTTTATTATTGTTTCCCTCTCTGTTGTGTGTGGAAAGAATTGTTTTCAAGCAGTGCAAGATCAATGTCTGGGTTAGCAGTATTTTACTGTTGTTTCAGTTCTGAAGTGCAGGAGTGTGGGGCTTGGCAGGG